GGACGAGAAATGTATTGTACAAGAGCATTTAAATAAATAATGGACCCAAATGTTTGCTGCATTGTAATGAAGTCCATGGACAAATTAACAGAGTGGATTCCGATATTCGCATGAAAACATAGACACAATTTGCATATAAGACGAAGGTTTTCAAAAACAACTTTTTAAAGTGACAAAAGGAAAGCCCCGAAAATGTTTCAAAAAGGGAGACCTGATGAAAATATTAAATGAAAAATTGGTTGCGTGTGTATAAATATACTATAATAGCGTTATGGCAGACATATATGTACATATTCAATTTATAAATTTAAAAAAGTGATTTGTGTAAGAGTCTATATCCATTTTTAATATGCTAAAATAATACAAAATAATATTTAAATCTCATTTACCAAATGGTTGTCCAATACTTTTTGCTGTTTTGACTTTTCGTTGCCAACTTTTTATGATATTGCTTCTAATTTCGTGTTGTATAATATTTTATTGCATTATGTGAATTGAAAAGTTTGACTAACTTTTGCAAATATTACCAACATATACTAACAATTTAAGAGCAGCTGGTTTCTGTGCCGCCACCCACGGCCAATGCACCGCTGTTACGTGCCATATGAGGCATCGAGCCACATATTCGTGCATATATTTTCATAATTATCTAAATAAATGTGTGTAAGGCCACAACATGCAAGTGAAAGCGACATGAATTTATATTAAAAACGAGCAGAACTTTACCATAGTTCCCGGCACCTAGTAGCCCATAAATGTATCTGTGAGATACGTACGTATGTGTGTGTATCTGTTGGTTGACTCTAATTTCAGCCACGTTTACAGCCATTCCAGCCATGGCTTGGGCGCATAAAGTAACACAAGACCTAGTTAGAGTTCCCAGCCAACTAAATGTGCCCCCTCTCTGTGTGTATGTGTGTGAGCGTGTGCATGTGTGTGTGTGTGTGTGAGTGCAAATGCAACATAACGTGCACTTAGTTGTGTTGGTTTTGTGGTTGGGGGGCACCTTGTAGCTATGTTGTGTGCTGCAGTTATGCGATAGCTGCATCCTTTTATGGCATATTTTAGTAGCTTTGCCCAAATAAAAGTGGCGCTAGGTGCCATTTCCTGCTGCTGACCATAACGCGCCAAACTATGCATAGGATAGCATATACACACACACACACAGACACACACAGAGGAAAAACGCCGCAAAGAATGCAACAATTTGCTGTAAAGCGAAACCTCAGCTCCTCAGCTAGGAGCGCTTCGTAGGAAAAGCAAGTGAAAATATTTCTATGCCAACATAAAATTTTCGCACGGCATATTTCGGACTCGTTTTTGCCTTGCATACTTTTATGCGCCGTCCTGCCCTAGGGAAAGGAAATAAGTAAAATAAAAAGGAAGAAAAGTTTCGGGTGTTGTATGCCCCGGCAGTACAAGTATCCAAGTATATCTGCCTCGTTAGTCGTAAATGAGGAGGCGTCGCATCGCTTAAAACGAAGCTAATGAAAGCCTTTAGCCTGAATGCGATGCAAAATGATGCTGCCTCAAGACGAGTGTAAAGCATACTTATTGGGGCTGCATAACAAGCACAGCACATCTTTTGGGGCTGCATTGTGTAAGTGGAGCACGCTTTTAGGCAGCATTCAACCATTTCAGCCGAAGAAGACATGCCCCGGCTCTCCCGGTGCTCACACTTCTCGCCATGCCCATTATTTGCCCAATTTGAATGCGCATCGAGAAAACATTTGCAGCCTTGTCATGCAAATGATGCTAAAGTGCCATCCCAGGTGACCCATATGTTAACGATAATAAACAGCCCCAGCCGTGAGAGGTTGATGCGAAAGAGTGGAGACTGAAGAGCTAGGCTTAACGACTAAGAAATACCCTATAACATTTGCGTAAAATCAACAAGATATATTTCAAAAATCGAAAATCATATATTTAAAAATGATAGACAATTACAAATTTAATTAGATTACAATTTTTGCATAAATATATTTCCATAAACTTATACGCGGTTATATATTCTGTGTCAAATTGAATGCCAATTTTAAGATACCCTCTGCCAAGCACATAGAGTTTGCTAGCAAACAAAATGTAAAAGTCAACGGCAAATGTCAAGCCCACACAGTCGCAGAGCGCAGGCCACACAATTCATTGGATTTATGACAACAAAATTGATATTAATGTAGAAAAGTCGGTGCACACTTGCAAATAGGTAAACCACCGAACAGCGCCGGAGGGGTGGTGGCTGTGCCAAGGGGGGCAATATGGAAGCTTGGCTAGCAGTCAACTTGGTGGCTTTCGCTGCCTATTTTGCATATGAGATCCTTTCCCTTGGCCCTCAGCCTGCTGTCTCGTGTTGTAAACCGCGATTAACGTAAATAGCGGAAAAAATGGCGCACAGTAGCAGCAAAAAAAATATGGCACAGATAGACAGAGACACACACATGGGTGTAAAAAACTGGCAGCGAATGTTACCGTAGCAGCAAAAAAAAAAACAGATTGTGCCACAACAGCAAAGCCCGAGCCAGAGCCGGAGCCAGAGCCAGAAGATAATGTAGGTCATGGCGGGATATGGGCGAGCTGACTCCAGTGGAGATACCCTCTCTGCCAAGTACCCCTCAGCTTCCACCTCACCCCCCACCAGGCTGGTAACGCTATGCGTTAGGATAAAGTGTTCATATGTTTGTATGGCGCTTGCCATGCGGAAAATTTGTAGCAATTTCCACAGAACGTGGCAACTGCTGATGCGGCCGCTGTTGATGTTGATGTTGATGTTGCTGTTACCGCTGCCTCTACTGCAACAGCAGGAGCAGTAGTTAATTAGCAGTTGATGTGCTATTTTTTATTAGATTGCCGATTAGCTGCTGATGGGCTGCGGTAGTAACAATAAAGTGGAAGGCAAATTGAACTATGGGAAAGATAAGTAGATATAGGCTTACTTTGGAAATAACAATGTCCACTCACATATAGTTCATCTATTTACTATATAATTTTACTTACAATTAAATCTAAATAAGAATATACAAAGTCCACAGTTGTATTTTTTAATAGAAAGCAACATTAATGCAGATTCGTACAGATGTTTGCGTCTGATTAAAGTAAACTTAAGGCTATAAGTTGTCCAAAAAGCTCTGACATAATATCAATAACAGCTTCAAAGTTTGTATAAATATTGAACAAATAATCCTGAAGGAGATTTGCCACATTCAGTTAATCGTAAGCAATGTGTTTTGCATAAACGTTTCTTTTAGAGAACTTTCACTTCAGTTTTAAAACAACTTAAAGTGGGGCAAAAATAAAACAAGCAACATGTTGGACAAACAAATATTCATGAAACAATCCCATAAACATTTTCCCTTGCTGGATATCTCTTTGTTTATTTCTTTATGCTGTTCTGTCTATAGAAAACTGTGCAAATTGTTTAAATGACTTTGCATGAGTCAATAACTTGCATGATTTACTGCACTTTGGCCTCCCTTCGCAGCGCGCTCTCTATTCTAATACAAAGCCAACTACTAACTAGATAAAATATGAATATGAACAAATAGCGTATGTCAGACATACACATATACACACAATCTATGTGTGTGTGTGTTTGTAAAGAAATTGTCGCAATGCAGTTGCAGTTTTTGAGTTTGGCGAAAAAGTTGGCGTTTGAGTTTCGAGTCGAGTTGAGTTGAGTTGAGTTCTCCGTTTTCCCAGGGCCAAAAGTTGTTGCGCAGCAGCGCGGCGTGTGGTTAACTTTTTTTTTCGACTGCCTTACGCCAGTTTGAAAATTGAAAGTGAAAACTGCCAAACTGCCGCAGCTGTTGTGGAAATAATTCATAAATTGAGCGCGAATGTTGCGGCAAAATTGCAAAAATAAAATAAATAAAGTTGCAAAGTCATTCAGAGCGAATGTTGATTAGGTATGCAAATTGACGCCTTGACACATAAAAAATGACATTGAACTAATATTGGCACATTAAGCAAACTGCTTAAAAGGAGGATATATTTATGAACTGAAAAGTATAAAAAGAATTAAACAACAAAATGTTATGATAATTTATAAAGACTTCGTATTTTCCCTTATATTCGTTTTTCACTTGTAGAAGTGATTTGTACAAAACCGATGACATTCAAATTATAGAATTTTGAGTCAGATCGATCTAGTAAATCTTAAATCTCTGTCTTTAAATATTATTCCTGACCAACGGATATGGCTCTTATTCGTTTGACTCTTAACCAAGTCGCGCTTTACCAGCTTTTATTCATATAATTTTTAACTTGTAAATAAATTCTTTTAAGCTGCACTTTCAAGTGGGCGCAACACAAAAGCTTTGCACACAATTGCCAATCAGTGTGTTTTTCACAAAAGGATCATACTTATTGGTGTCCACGCACATTTAACGACATTTAATTACAAGCAGCACATGCACACTCGACATGCAGCTCAATTACACGTGCATTCGGCAAAAAAGCCAATTTTAAATTTAATTAAATAATTAACGCCAATGCAAATGGCTGTAAAAAACATATGCCAAAAAAAAAAGAAAAAAAAAAACAGAATCCCGTTAACAGCAAACATGGAAAAAGTATCAGAAACGCCCGACAATAAACATGCATTCTGCGTTGCAAGCCAAGTGGGCGTGGTCATGCGTTGAGTCAATCAATGCAAATTCAAATTAATTATTGATCAATATGGTTTATAATCAACGAAAAAAAAAAGTTAACATTGAGCACAGCAAAAGTGAGGACACTTGTATAAATTACAATAAATATTTAGTCATTAAAATTAACAAGTGACATTCCTGCCAAATGAAAAAGCTATATTAAATAGAAACAAATGGACGTGAAGGTTTAATTTGCAGTTGTCATTTATATAATATAATAAAATAAATCTGCAGTCAACGAGTCAAGTTATTTAAATAAAAATATAAAAATATATTATTATATTCGCCATCATGACAAAATTCTCATTTAATATATCAGAAATGTAAATATTTGATGATAAATTTTCTTTTTTACAGACTCAAGGTGGATAACAATGGAGGTGCCTGGTGTCCCAAGCATATGGTCTCACGTGGCCTCACAGAATATCTGCAAATTGATCTGCTGCAGGTGCATTTGGTCAGCGCCATACGCACACAGGGTCGCTTTGGCAAAGGTCAGGGCCAGGAATATACAGAGGCCTATGTGCTCGAATATTGGAGGCCGGGCTTTGAGAAATGGCTGCGTTGGAAGAATACCCAGGGCAAAGAGGTGAGTGCCAAGCCTCTATGTCTATCTCTCTCTCTGCATTCACACATTAATCACGAACGGGCCGGGCCGGCGATAAGCATCGCAATAACCGCAAGCCACGAACAGATACATAATGTATCTACATCTTTAGGCTGTGAAATTTACGTGCGAATTATCGCGAGGTGAGCAAGAATTGCGTAGGTGTCCCTCGATTGTGCTGGCCCAGGCTGTGCCCGAAACGGTTCCATCGATTTATTGTGTGCAGGCTAAGAAAATCAATTTGAACGCTTTTGTTTTTGTTTTGCTTTTTTTTGTTTCGGCCAAAGAGCTCGAATTCCCCCACCTACACGCGGCACACAGCTGGCGCATTAATAACGTTTTTGGTTTTGGTTACATCTTGCAGATACTTCCTGGCAATATAAACACCTACAGCGAGGTGGAGAACGTGCTGCAGCCCAGCATCTTTGCGTCCAAGGTGCGCATCTATCCCTACAGTCAATACGATCGCACCGTTTGCCTGCGCGCCGAGATCGTTGGCTGTGCCTGGCAAGGTAAGTGGTCCATAGCCATAGCCATGAATTATAGCAAACATTGCGTGCCCCCCCCCCTCCCCCCCCCCCTCGCCTACCACACACACCAAGCATTACGGTCGCACTTGTTCATGCCCTGCGGCCGACAAACAGCTAAAGTATCTTTTACCAGCAGTTAAGTTATCTTAAGACAAATCGAAGCTGTCATACCCTAGCATATATATATATATATATATTTTAAAGATCTCGTGATAATAAATGGATTCTTATTGAAGCTATTTGCTTATATCTGATAAAGACAAGATAAACAGACTTTTGCAAACTATTCAATCTTTTAATCTTTAATTTAAGTTCAATGAAAAAGCTTGTGATAATCGGGAAATTGTTTACAGGTTTTTTTAACTGTTATTTATCAATTCTTATACATGTTCATTATAATCGAACAAATCGTATAACAAAATCGTAGGACCCCAACCATCGTCGGTGTATGAAAAAGTATCTGTAAGCATGCAATCAAGCGTGCGACCGGTTTTGATGACTTTGTTTTGCATTTGCGAGCGACCCCAAGCTAAAAGTTAGTTAGTTTCTTTTATTGTTTTATTAAAGGTCTCGCTTGGGGCTCAGTAGTGGGCCCATTGCATGCCGCATATTTAATTTACAGTTTTTAAGCGAATTTATTGCTTTTTTAGTCGAATTTTTATGTAATTTAAACATGTGCGAGTGCTTGTACATAAAATAGGATTATAATTATGAGTAGCTGCTGCACATGACCCAAAGACTCAAAATATGACGCTGCAAATCGCCTTAAATTGCCGTTTTGATACACATATAAGCCACAATCCGTTGCCTTGCACTAACAACTCGCATCTGTGAACTATCTTGACTCTTGCAGAGGGCATTGTCGCCTACAGCATTCCGAAGGGTGTGCAGCGCGGCATGGAAATCGATCTATCCGATAAAACCTACGATGGGCACGAGGAGGGCGATCGTTTTGTGAATGGACTGGGCCAGCTGGTAGATGGACAGCGCGGCAAGGATAACTTTCGCATGGATATCAACGGCTTTGGTAAAGGTAAAATAATACTGTACTGATTTCTTAACGTCAAAGACGTTTAAGACGCGGGCGTGCATGGTCTCTTTATGGTAGTCCATTTGCTTGTCACATAAAATACTTCAGTCTAGACTATTTTAGTCTTTGCTCTGCCTTACATGTTTTAGCTGCACATAAATGTCTCTTAATATTGCGTTAAACTGGCCCAAGAGTCATTTGATATCATATGTAATGGAGATTACAGTGCACTTGAGCTTTAAGTTGTTTAATGTGGTATGTGGTCCAGTGACAGAGAGAGGTGTGCCAAGCAGTGGACAAATTCGCAGTAAAATTATATCAAATATATTCAAAACAGACAATATTTGCGTGTGAGAGTTAATATGAGTATTCCAGTAGATAATGAAAACTTTAAGTTGTTAATAAATAGAAAATATTATAAATGGAGAAACTCAATTCATAGCCCATAAATATATCTTTCAATAAGCCGTGAACTAATTTTCTTCCCATTTAGGTTATGAATGGGTTGGCTGGCGTAATGATACTCTATCCGGTCGTCCCGTGGAAATCACCTTTGAATTTGAAACTGTACGCAATTTCAGTGCTGTGATTATCCACACGAACAACATGTTCTCCAAGGATGTGCAGGTAAGTAAAAACTACCATTATATACACATACATTACACTGCTACAGCCCACACTTGGTAAAAGATACCCCATAACTGTCAACTGCAACTGCATTTCATCACATTTTCATTGTTAATGCCTGAAGTGCATATAAGACAACACGATACTGTCATTTGCGGACAGATAAATTGGCTCTTTAAAAATAAAATACAACAACAGCAACGCCAAATTATATAAACAACAACAGTGTGCTGCGCCTTTTGTTTGGAAATCGTAAAAAATCAACAGCCGTTGCGAGGTCCACGGTCCGCAACCGCTCCATGGCCCCACTCACAGTTCCCGGGCCAGACAAACTGGCGGCGGCAAACTGAGCAAATAAATGCTAAACAGTTCTGACAACAAACACAGTGCGGTAATAAAATAAAATTGTCAGAGACAGGGGCAGCTATAGGTAGAGGTAGAGAGCGAGTGCGAGAGAGAAGGAGAAAAAAATACGAATGATTTTTATAAACAAACCAAACACGAAATCGAACCTAAACAAACCCCAATTGATATAAACGGAACGCACCGCCCACCCTGCTACCCCACCGAACCCAAAACCGACTCAGGTGGCACTTGAAATCGGGTAGAGAGGTACTCGTACTATATACATATATGGCAAGGCATTATAGAGTCAATTTCCTTACTTACTCGTTGTCTTTATCGAAAGTAAACAATGCGAGTGAGTGCCCAGCCACATACGAATACGAATCATTTAATGATTGGGCGCAGTTTTGTTTTGCTTACCCCCTTCCCCAGCATATCGAAAGGAACATAGGAGCATGGGGGCTCTGATAGCAGGCTACAACATAATCTGGCCCATAAAAAACAGAACACAACAGAACAGAATTTTTTTTTTTTCTGTTGTTCAAGTCCATTGACCCAAATTATGGTGGCAATGTGTTAAATGCTAGATTGAGATAGCTATGCGCTCTTGTTGACTGATAAGAGAACTACAAAATTGTTGAAAGGTGCAGCTGGGCTGCGGCTGCTGGCCAGAAAAACCCGCTGCACTATCTTTAATTAAAGCCTACCTGAGTATAACTGCATATGAGTATGATTGCATTTGATCAGACCCTCTCTCATAAATTTCTTGTAGATTTCTTCGTCTGACAGTTTTGAGTATCGTACGACAGTTTAATAATTTTGATATGCGCCCTGTTTGATCTTATCGTTGTTATATTTCGAGTAACATAAACCACACATTTCCACTGCCGTTCCATATGCTTGTCAAATTTGTGTCAAATTAATCTTGACTTTTCTTTTTGGAAGCGTGCGGGCGATAGAGGTGAGCTGGGGCAGACAGATAACTGTGGGTCCACTCTGCTATATTGTTATAATTATGCAGTTTTATTTGTACCTTTAATTATTGATAAAAAGTACATGTTTATGTTACATGCATACAGCTAAGGTACAATAAATGCCAGAGTGTGTAGATTTGTGTCAGAGCATATGATTTTTGTTACAATTTTCCAGGGCTTAACGTCATAAATAAATCTGGGTCACAAAAGGTGAAATACTACACCTTATAGTCGTACAAGAGAAAACATATTTAAAATCATTTTGCTTTTTTAATTTTCGAATCATACAAATTTTTTGATCATTTTCTCTCCCATTTAATGGATTTTTTTTGCGCAAACTCTTAAACATGCATATACATTGCAGACAATAATGTTTTTTCCACGTATCGAAATTAAATTCAATAAAATATTATCAAAATTATTAAAAATATAGCATAAATTAAACGAGATTGGCAAAGTTCAGATGAAAATATATAAAATTAATCGCTTGTATGTCAGATATTTAATATAGTCATCAAATGTAAGTCAAATAGTTCGATTCCTTTATGAATATAATTATTATACATATTGTTATATATGTATTATTAAATTATAGCATATAGTTGAAAACTGTTTAGTTAACTTTATTAGCTATCCATATAGCCTGGTATTTTAAAATAATAATAATTAATATAATAATATTATAATAAATTTTGTTAAAATCTACTTTTTATTAAAGAAAGTCTTTACTATTAGTTGATTAAACCCCTTGCAATATGTAAACCATTTAAGACCAGCGGCAAGGCTTTCATATTTTACAGAACAACTTTTATGATTTACCTCCACAATAAACCAAACTTTTTACTACATTCTAACTATAAAATCGCATAGGTATAAAATCTTGAGTATTCTTACAAGCAAGGCATAACTTGTATTAATCAAGAATTCTGTATGTTTCTATCCATTTGGATAACTACTTATCTACATTTAATTATGATTTCTTGAATGGTTCTGATGACTCTCAACTTCACTGCTTATGCCCAAATTTATGATGCTTTTTAAATATACGAGTAATTTCCACATGCTTTTCGATTTAAGAAGGAAACCAGCTCAATCAGAAGTTGGAGATGCCACTCTAGATAGCTGGTCTGAAGATTTCTGTGTTTCTACACAAATCTGCTGACGTAATTAACCACAAAGTATGCAGCCAATTGGCAGCAGATTCAAGCGGCACATAAAATTTCAATTACCACAAATTTTCTTGGGGCTTTGATTTGTTGCCGCCATTTGTACGTGAAGTGAAGAACTGGGGGGCGAGGCTGGAGGCTGAAATCACAGTCAGCACCAGAGTCGAGTCTCTGGGGTGGCAGCAGCCTACCTGGTCAATGCGGTCGACTCGTTGGCCGACTTGGCCATTGACCATTCGCTTTATGGTTGCCCATAATTTACACAGAATCAACGACGACGTCCTCGTCTTTGGCTCAGTCGCTATAATTCTCATTTTTATGATTTTTCATTACCATTTGCTTGGCCAGCGCCATTCGGAATGCCCCATAAGTCATAAAATTACTTAGAGCGGCTTTGGGGGCCAGCAGCTCTGGACCCGAACTCGGACCCGGACCCGGACCCGGACACGCTGCCATGGGACACTTTGCGGTCGTGCAATAAATACTCAAAATGCCATTTGTGATGCATTGATAAGCCCAAAATTATGCTAATTGCGTTTTAATTATGACACGCGTGTGGCTGCTGCACCTTTCACCGCACCTGCGCCTCAACTGACAACCCACTCTAGCGCTCCGCACTCAACACTCAGCACCCAGCTCCAGTCCAAGTCCAAGTCGAACTCCGAGTCATTACATGTCAGATGTTCGATAAGCCTCTTGAGCTCTTGTGTTGTCGGTTAGCGTCTGCTTGTTTGACTTTGTCTTTAGCATTTCTAATGAGCGGCAACGTTACCCCAACCACCTCTTCCTCTCTCCTTCTCTCTATCAACTCCTTGTGTACTCTTTAAAATGCGTGCCCAGATTTATAGCCCCGATTAAGTCATTGTCGTGGGGGTCAACATCTACGTGTGGTCCTATTAATTAGTCTTGGGAGGGCAGGCTTAGACTCATCAGATTGTTTGTCTCTATAAGTGGCTGACTTCCGTTAGCTGCTGCTGCGTTTGTGGAGGGCAGGGCTGGGAAAGTTTGTTGAAAAGCACTTTGACAGGTGGGCTTTGGAAAAGGATCTGACGTTTAGCTAGTGTATGAGGAAAATAACTTTCTTCACTTCGGATTATGAGTGGCATGTAGCTGATGCGCATATGGGACAAAAATAACAGAGAAAATTAAGAAAACTTCTTATTCTTTGGCGGTTTTCTAATACATTATATGTAATTGTTGTCAACCATATTTATCCCACACAACTATTCATAAGAGTTAGAAAAAAAAAACAACGATTGTAAGAGCATTTCCCATAAAAAAATAAAGTTTATAAGCTTTACAAATAATTATTAGCCACCAAGCCCATGATTTCTATTGTTATTCAATGCATTCAGCGTAGAAACAAAGTCCAAGCAACACCTCTTAACGTCAACGACAACTCATTAGCCATGCTCAGCCCAATTGGCAATGGGAAAGACAACACTTACACATCCGGCTGGCCCCAAAAACAAAGTAACCAACCAAAAGTATATGTTGTATTTATATATACACGATTTTTTTCTCAGTTGTGTTTTTTTTTACGAGGCACTTCCGTGGCGCGTCCATAACTGAACCTTGGACTGTCGCTTGACCAAAACTGTCGGCGGGGGCTAACAAATATGAGAATACAATTCGCGGGCAAAGAAAATGAAGAACAAGCGCGTCGTAAAAAATAAAATGAATGTGATTACTTTAATTATTATGCCAGTCACACACACACACACACACACACACATGGACACATTCAGGTGTCCAACTGTTACTCATCTTTGTTTACTCCCTCTCAATCTCACTTTTTCTCTCTTTCTCGCACTTGCAGGTGTTTGTGCACGCCAAAGTTTTCTTCAGCATTGGCGGACGCCAGTTTGTTGGGGAGCCGGTTCAGTTCTCCTACATGCCCGACCAAGTGCTGGATCATGCACGCGACGTGACAATCAAATTACATCATCGCCTGGGGCGTTATCTGCAGTTGCATTTGTATTTCGCCGCCCGCTGGATGATGCTCAGCGAGATTACGTTTATATCAGGTGAGAGAGAGAGAGAGAATGCGAGCCCAAGTCTCCCAACTGCCAACGCAACATGCCCGCTGGGCCAAAAACTGTTGCAGCAAAAATTATTTTATTAAAAAATGTAACACGAGCACGCGAAAACGTAAAAGTTGCAAGAAATAAAAAGAAGGAACAGCGTTCTTTGGCACGCCGAAGATTAAATACCCTTTTGGGCATATAGTTTGGTGAAAATATCTTCAAAAACAGAAGAGTTGTCTATATCAAAACTTATTTTTCAACCAATTTTTCCTACAAAGCAGTCCGATGTAGGACAGAATAGGCCAGGAATTCTCACAAACTATAAGCATGGCATATATTCACATTGTTCAAAATGTCATAAGAAAAAACCAAAGCTCTTACAATAAGTTTGTTTTTGTCCGATTGTTCGAAGTGCAGCTATATATTATAATTTAGCAGACAGACACGCATTTACGAACATGATTATATAGACTAGCTTTCCTACTGATCAAGTATATAAATTCTTTATGGGCTCGTAGCTGCCTCTTTCAGTGCGTTACAAATTGCATGACAAAGTGATCAAACCCGCTTTATTTATAGGGCATAAAAAGGGTTAACTAGGTTGCCACCTTCCTTGCTGGCCACATGGTGCGCCACTTGCAATAAATGCGAATGCATTCGTTGTCAACGCCAGCGAACGGCGAAGGGGCAAGGTGGCAGACAAGGTGGAGGGAGGGTAGTTGATGTGCCTCTGTTGTTTGTAGTTTAAATTAATTTTTTATGCTCGTTCTCGTTGACTTGTTAGTGGATTTAAAGCGTTGATAACGCGACAGGTTGAACCAAGTAATTTAGTTAGTTATTATCGAGTTTACGAGCACAATACAAGTGGCCAGTTAGAGAAGGCTGTTAAGTCAGCTAGTTGGCATTATTATCAGTTGGTGCATACATTTGTATTTCTTTAAGTTGGTGAATACGAAATCTTTGCATTTCGCTTTGGTTGTCCACGAAATAAATTGTATTAGATAAGTTATAATAGTTGTCAAAGAAAACTATTATGTATAAAAACTTAAATATGTGAGAAGGCAAAACGTATATTTCAATTGGGTCTTACATAAAAATGTTGTCAGATTTTTTACTGGCATTCAATTTGGTACCAAATTTAATATCAATAGGTCGATGCCTGGTAACTTATTTACATATTTTTTTGGTCTCTCATATAAAATAATTTATTCAATCAGTCAGAAAAAATCAAATTTACAGCTGTTAAAACATGGTCTATCAAAAGCTAGCCCCAAAGCAATGACTGATATTGATTAGTCGAGACCTATGGCGTAACTTCAAGTAATTTTTCATTCCACAATTTGATTTACAGCACTTTTATGGCTTAAACAGTGCAAACAGCAAAACATTTGAAGTCTCTGTTTAGCTGGCCAACTGTTTAATTTTCACTTACTGCACACCTGGCTGAAAATATGAGGCAGACAGGCTGTGGTTGGGGAATGATGGGAAAACTCTCTTAAATACTCACACGGCTTGTTTAGAGCAATTGCTGCAACATACAACGAATAAACCAAGCAGTAAACATAATTTACCCAGGCAAACTAGAAAACTCAGGGCGCCCAACGGTAGCGGCTCTTCAAACATAAACTGCAACTGCAACTGCAATGGCAACAACAAGAACAACAACAACAACGACAACAACTTTGAGCAATTGAAAATTCCACTGACACTAAAAATTCGTTGCGCATTTCATTAAAACCCCTGGCAAACGACTCGAACTGGAGCGGCTCGACTCTGCACTCGACTCCGATCCGCTCCGCTCTACTCCCCTCCACTCTGCTCGACTCGACTCGAATCCGACGCGACTCTGTGTCGATGGTGCAAAATATATTACCAACTGAGAGGCAGGCTATGAACCAATTTTTACTTAACTCACATCGCTACTAAGCCAGCTGGGAGCTTTGTACAAGTGTGTGTGTGTGTGTGTGTGTGCTGTGTGCAATTGTGCATAGAGTGATACAAAGCAGGCTGACTGAGGGAGAAAGAGTGGACAGGCGGGAGGGGAAACGTAACTGGGTACCGAGTCAGCCATTGTAACAAGCATAGGAAACGGAAGCCCACATATACTGCGACAAAAGCAAAGACAGAGACAGGCAAGCGAGGCAGAAAGAGAGACAGCAAGAGAGAGAGAGAGAGAGGGAGAGAGGGAGAGGGCTTCAGCTTAGAGGGCAGAAACAGCAGCCCTGGCATATGCTCGACTACAAGCAGAAGCAAAGCACAAGGATATTGTGAAAATTAAATGAGTTGCATTACTTTTGTGCATTTGAAATTTGCAACTCAATGAGCACACGGAGCACAGAGCCATGGGTACTACCCAAGGAGAGGAGCGGCTGGTTGGCAATGGCAGCGGGGCAACATCGTGCCTTCCTGCCTCTAGCTTCCTCTTTTTACACGTTGCATAATAAAGAGCTGCACTGCTTTTCGAATGTTCTATGCCGCATAAGGTATGCTAACTATACTGCCGAGTTGGCAATATATAGATAAAGCTACACAGAGTATGGACTCGATTCGATTAATTACAAACATTCTTGCTGTTCATATTGAAGATCAATAATATAGAAAATTAAAACCCCAAATCGATATAAATATCTGAAATTTAATTGCCTTTTGGTTAACGCAGCTTTATTTGTAAAATGTATGCGTTTTTTAAAAGAAAATCCATGAAGTTTGTTTACTAAATCATAAGACGAATACAAACTACTTTTGAATATCGATATCGAGAAAGTTTTAAAATTAAAACACTTTCATAAGCAACTATTACAGTTGTGTAATTCTTGTCTTAAATGCATTCATTTTTATTTTCCATTTAATGAATATTATGTAATATTCTTTTCTGCCCATATTGATTGACTAAAATTTTCTACTTTATTAAATATTTATTTACGTTACGTTTTATGTCCGAGCTTATAAGCACAATCATACCTTATGATTAACCTACTGTAAAGGGAATTTAATCATCGACTTTTGCCTCATTTGTGATTCTCTTTTGTTGGCTTTGCCATTGGCACTGGCTGTGTCTTGGTTCCTCTTGCTTATAGATTTGTTTTCCATTTTTTTGTTTTCCCATTTGTAGATTTCTTTTTGAAACCTTTTTATTTTTTATTTTTTGAAATGGAGCGTATTTAAGCTTTGCAAGTGCTTTGCCTTATAAATCAATAACATTGCAATATATTTAGCATGTTGGCGCCCCCGCGTACTCCAGATTGCACGACGACCCCTTTTGTTTGTTGTTTTTGTGTTTGTGTTTTGCTTGGATTTTTATTTTGATGCATTCTGTTCAGTCAGTCAGTCAGTCAGATATTCATTCACTCAGGCAGACAGGCAGACAGACATTTAGTCGGTGATTCAGTCAAGCAATCGCTGCATACAAATTCATTTCAATAACTTCGCTGTTGCTGCGCTTTAAATCCTTCTGCAATTTCCCTCGCTTAATCCTTTCTAATTGAAAATCGTTTTGAATTCGAGATCTGAGAGTGCTTTTTGAGTGTGTTTGTGGGTGTGCGGGTGTGTGAGGGTGCGATGGTGTGTGTGTGTGTGGGTGTGTGGGTTTGTGGGTATGTGTGTGTGTGGGTGTGTGCGTGTCATATAGCACTGAATGGTAATGCGAATAACTGCGTGTAGTAGTTGGTGCTAGATGAATTGCATCAGCATCTGATGCAGTTGATTTGCTGCATTGTAGGTAGCCTGCCTTCTTCTGACTGGCCTTGAGCGCATTCGAGCGAATTGCAACAATGTGAATCATTTTCATGCACTTGGAATTTCGGCTCGTAATTTGCTTAATGGTTGAGTTGAAGTGCCAAAGCCAAAGTGCATTGATATTGAAAGCATTAAATTGCCGAGTGCATAATGCAATCAATGCGTACGGCAGGAAGAAAAGGAAGGAAACTGAGACAGCCAAACAATGCGATGTTAATGGAGGTCACGTGCACATTCCAACTGATTATAATATATTCCTTGTACGGCCAAATGAATATACATACATATATAGCTAAGTATATGAAAAGTCACTGAGAATTTATGCAGGCGGAAATTAAACATAAATCTGCATCAGAATTTCGTTTGTTGTTCGAACAGGACAGCATCTTATATATACGAAATGTATTGAAAGTGAACTCACCATATTTGTTAAGCTACTTATTATTTGTTGAGCACTTTGTAGATTTGTTGCCAAAAATTGTTTAAAAATGTTAATAGTTTTCATCTCAAATATATCTGAAAGTAAGATATACAATTTATGAATGACAGGCAATTATGTATCTAAAATTAAATTGAATTTTACAATTAGTCTTAAAGAGAGCTGCTTCTACGAAATATTAATTAATAGATATGTATATTAAATGTTCTACAAGTCCGCAAAGACTTTTTCTTGTCTTTCAAAATATCCTTGTTTATATATAAGATTAAAAAATAATAATTTCTTGTTAGCGTAGGATAATGTTTATCGGACACCTCTATGTAATTTAATATAAATAGGCTAGCCGCGCGATGAGAAAGCGGCAACTACAGAGCACCTGTTCGTTCTATTTCCTAGATTTCCTTTGCTAGGAACCTATTTCCTTTTGGATCTATCAAGTTTCATCCAAGCTTGGGCATCACTACCATGTGTGCCATTCCTCCTTCTATTTTTTGGGCTCACAATGGGCCATTTACGATCCAAATAAGTCAAGGGTCTAGCGTATTAAGTATATGAACTACTTGCATATTGCACAGAAAATGATTTCTTCCTGTTTTTAATTTATTTTCTATATATTTTATATAATACATGCTCAAGCGTCCAGACCCAGCTTTAAAATAACTTCCGCAAAGCTAATCCGTGGCCGTTTTATCGATCTGTGTTTTTATCAAATCTCTGACTCTCCGCATGCACCTCTTGATATTTCAAGTGGAGATATTAACATTTTCTATCTGGCAGCGCTAACGAATTAACATATTTTGGGTTCGTTAAGGTTCACAGAACATATGACACGGCTTTTGGGAGTCTGTCGGCCCCCACACAATTCCCAATGCTACTTTTGCTGCGGCGGACGAACTTTGATGCCACAAGCATTGCCCAAACCAACAACCAACAGAATGGCAAAATTTTTGTTGCCGTCGCTATTTGCATGGCAAATTCAAACACACGAAAGTAAACAAAAAACTTTTGTAGCAACAAAAAACTTGACGCCAAAGAAAATAGACGACACGCGGCGGCGGCAACAACAACAATTCCAAAATAACAAATACAACAACAACAATAACAATAACAGTAACAACAATAGCAGGCAAACAAGTTCAAAATCAATGCCAAGAGCTGTAAAAATTTGCATTTCCCTCAACGCTATTTCAGCCATTTTTCGAAATTTCCTGCAAAATGCTCGTCTTTTTGTTTTTAAATATCGAGCGGAGTTCAACAAACGCCCGCGGCGGAAATGCATTTGGAAATTGTGCTCCGTACCAGGATAACCATACTGGCTAACAAAACAAAGTCAGCACCAGTCCGCTGGGTAAACAGCAAAGGGCAGAGTGTGGGCGCGGTCGGTGCTAGCTGTGTTGTTATTGACGACTGTCTGGGTTGGATGATGGCGTTTTCGTTGCTTCTGTTTATTGTCTGGCTGCGCGAAAGGTCAACAGCAAATACTGCACACGCTTCAACGCCTGTTCCGCTAGTGTTTTGGGCGTGACCGGCACCTAAAAGTATGCAACACTAATTGGCACTCAACGAGACGCTCTACTCAGCGTCAGCGTTGACACCAGACTGTGTAACAGCTCATTTATCATAATAATCGCGATTCTGCCTTATTCCCTCTCGCTAATTGCTCACTGAGACCCATTAGCTCGGCTAGCTTATCAAGACGGGCAGCTGTCAGGCAACAGTTTGCCACCCACAGCTCACAGCTCGTTTGCTGCAATCTTTATGCAGCCTATTTCCTATTTCGTTGGCGAATCTCTCAACGCATTCTAACCCACATTTTAGAGCTCCTCTCACTCTTCTCTCTCTCTCTCTCTGTTTGTCTTGTTTGCAGTGCCCGTAGTGGGCAATTTCACAGATGAGGAGCTGCTCAATGTACCGCCTACAAATGGCGCCGGTGTGCCAAATACATCCGAATATCCGCTGCAACGCGATGAGGTGGGTCGAGCTGTCAGCAGCGGTGGCGAGAGGAGTCAACATACCACCCAAGGTAAGTGCAATGCGAATAGAGATCAACTGATTATACCAAAATTTACGAAATATGCCAGTGACTGGTTTACTAACTAGTTGCTGACGTAAATTATTTTCAAAATCACTTTTAAACCGAATTAGATTTGAATATTTTAAGTTTTTCTTTGATTATTAGTTAAAGTTTAAAATTTAAAATGCTGCCCGCAGCAGAAACATTCAATTATTTTTTTGATCAATGCGTCCACATAAATTATATGTATTGTTTAATTGTATTGTTATTGTCTTAATATAATTTTTAGCGCTGTTATAGATTTAATAAAATATTACCAAAGTCCTTTGGTAACTAACTATCAAATTAAAAATGAATTTATCAGGAAAGTAAGAATATATTCGGTTCGCCGACGATTAAATTCCCTTGTAGACATTCCACGTTTGCAGATATGGAATAGTGCAGGAAAATGCTATATTTGTTGAAATATCTTTGAAAACAGCAGGTCCTACTATTCCACCGATCTTACCTATAGCATATAGTGGTCCGATGTTGATAAGATTTTGTTTATATATCAGGATCATAATGAAACTAATAAATTCAGAGCTTGGTCAAGTTATCTTAATATAAAAAAAGGTTTCCATATCAGAACCAACTTTTCGAAAGAACGTTTCTATTTCATATTGCAAATATTACTATAAGAATAGACCAGAGTGTTAAGTCTGTTTAAATAAAAGTTGATCAGCCCAGTAAAAAGTATTTGAATTAACAGTATTATTGTTCATTTTTCTGTCTGTGGTGTATATTGTTCAATTAAAGCACCACAAACTAGCCAGCATCGACAGTTTTTGAAATACAAAATATACCGCTTAATAATGTTGTACATCGACCCAAAAGTGCTGGAGTGAGATCCTTAATTACTCGGTCTCAGCATTTACAATGAGTTAACAAACAAAAGAGTGTTGGGGGCAATTGAAAGCCCGACAATAAGCTACACCACGCCTCAAATATTTTTATGGATGTTTTCCACAAATAATCTTTATCCCAACCGACACAAGAAAATGCACAAAAACAGCAAAAAACTTTTTCATTAAATACGTATTTTGCAAAGCGTTGCACTTTTTTTTTCTCATTAACTTTTAGTTGCTCAGCAGAGTTGTAACTGCCAGCTTGTTGTTTCATATCACATCATGCAGCTCTCTTTTGCTCTTCGCTTTTGCTTGCAGTTATCTCGCCGAAGCCCATTGACCATCAGGAGCCGGAAACAAGTTTCGTTGGCGTCATAATCACAGTGCTGGCAACAATTATACTCTTCCTTGTCGTTATTATCCTCTTGATAATAGCTCGCAATAAGCGCGGACGCGGACGTGGCAATGTTTTGGATGCATTTCAGCATAACTTCAATCCGGACACACTCGGCGGCGTCGATAAGCGACTCAATGGCAACGGCGTCTTAAAGGTGGGTAAAATGGATATCTGTACGAATACCAAGCGGCGTTTAGTTTGGCCACTAACCGGCTGACATGAAAAGTGCATAAGCTGTTGTCGCCCTGTGGGCAGTCACCACCCAAAATGCATGTCAAACATCACGAACCAAAAAAAAAAAAAAAGCGGGGGGAAGAGCAACACAAAAAAAATTAAAAATTGCTGCTGCAAACGCACAAAGGTTTTACGGGTGAGCCCGGGCTCCATATGCAGAAATCATGATTAAAAGCTGTACTGTAGTGGCTGCCAAAGCTCAACAAAAAGAGCTAGGCGTCAATTTTTTTACACTGTCCTATATGTACTAGGTTTTAATTTTTTATTTTCTTTGTTTTCTTTCACCTTTCGCCCTCAGGTGGTCACAACAATGGATGACAATGAGTCGTCCATTGACAAGAACAGTCTGTACCATGAGCCCTTCAATGTGAACATGTACACAAGCGCGGCCAGTGCCTGCTCCATGAATGACCTGCAGCGTCAGCATGTAACTCCGGACTATACAGGTGAGTTCACGCAAAGGGGCAAGAGGTCCCGGCTTCCAGTTGCACCACGATGGGCTGTTGCTGCTGCTGCTGGTGCCATGGGCCATAAACAGCGCTCACAGCATGGCTCAAGCTTTATCTTCCGCTCCCGCTCCTGGTTCTACTCCTGCTGCTGCTGGTGTCGCAGCTGATGAGTTTGATGTTTTGCGTCCTGCCTGTGACAGGACATGCAAATGTTGCTGCAATGTTGCAAGCAACAACAAAAAAGCAACAAACAAAAAAATGAAGAGAAATGCGAGTACGAAGCAATGCTTAATTTAGCGCACAACATGAAAGTCCAGTGTGATGGACTCTGCCAGCGGTGCTGAAGTAGCAGCCGGAACAAGAGCAGCAACAATCAAAAAAGAGAGAAAAAAAGTACGCGCGTTGTTCGCGCCGCAGGACATAATTTTGAATTGCTTAGTCGCCAGACCGACAAAACTGATCCCCCAAAAAATAGGGTATGCAACGGGGCATATGAACTTGGTAACACTTTGGGAGAGCATTCAGTGATTGGATTGTCTTTCGATTGTCTCATCAGATAATATTTTTGATGAATAAATATTATGAAACTATTTAAAAGTGTAGGCTTACTAACTTGTCTTGATTTAAATACTTTAATTCTTGTAACTAAAACTATTTTTTACACAACTATTTTCATATTAATAATATTCACTTTTAATTTTTTATGAACTTTAATTATTTAAACATTTTAATTAAATTATTTTTATAATAAGTCTAATTTAAGAGGAGGGTTTTCATGAAAAGCATTCGCAAATGTTTGTTTGAAATTTATATCACAACAAATACTTAAAATTATTAAGGGAATTTCGAAATATATCAAAAATTGATCGATTTTTTTATTTTTATTTTAACTTTGAGGAATATCACAAAATACCTCAAACCTTTCAAGAATCAACTCATGGAAAGTTACTGAAAATAGAAACGCACTTGAGGCAAAACTTAATTCCAACTAATATCTTAGTCAAAAGACATACGCATGCATTAAATGTAAACGGGCTTTTGACTTCCTAATCGGCTTACGACCATTCTTTATGCCTTCTTCCGGCACATAGTCAATAATAAAACAGAGGACTCCTTTCAATGCACCTTCAGCTAGCTAGTTAAATCCTTAACAGAACTAATCCAAGCGAATGTCTTGTGCAGAGTAACTAAATGTCATCGTGTCCGGCATAGGTTACTTTTCATGTATTCGTCGAGTAACATGTGCACTGTTTAATTGCCAAACATGGAACGTGGAGCTTTCGGTTTGGGGTTAGAAGAAGTTGAGCTACATAATTTGTAATGAATTCTAATGTCTTGTGTCCGTCGCCTAAAGGCATGCTACACATTTTTGCGGCCCTTGCGTTTATCTCGGAGAGACACGAAGCATGGCACATAAAATCGACAACATGCTGGACAGGACACAGGCACATTGTTTGCACACATTCCTGGCCCATCACTAGCATCATCATTATCATCATCATAGCCATTGTCATCATCATCAGCAACGTTTATGGCACGCCTTTCATGCGCTAGAGTCATTTGCCAAAAAGTTTTGTGATGTTGCCTTTGGGTGCATTTTATAACTGGGCACCAAATATTTGTCATTGTCCCCCATACGCCCCACTTAATGCTCTATTCCGTTAGTATCTTTGTCTGTCTGTTGCCATAATAATTTAATTTAGCTCAAATAAATTATAACTTTAGCCATGTTAGAGCTTCTCCCATTTACGCTTTAACTTCAGCCCAATTCCCAACCTATTCCCATTTCCAGCACTCGTCACAGTCTCGCGCGTACCGCACGCTTCAAATTGAGTCCTTCAAACTTCGTTGGAAAACTTCTGCCAGCAACAACTACTCGCACACTACTCCACGCACACAAGCACACACACACTCCAATTAAAGTCCATTTTTGAAGTCAACTGCCAATTTGCACTCGCAAAGCTCCCCCACATCAAAATCACGGCGAAAAACTTCACATAATAACATTGCATGCAAATAAACATGGCAATAAGCGTGAGCCCAAGCACGAAATTCGTTTAAAAGCGGGTCGCAATTTGCACAGCTCTACAGAAGACAATCGAATACTTAACTTAAAGACCTATAAATGGAATATAGAATAGGCTGGAGAAAATAAAGTTTTTTTTAATATTTGTTCACTTTAATAATTAAAACTAAGAATATTCTTTAGTTGAATTTAGTGATGTAATGTGAGTGATGTAAAGCGATGTAAAGTTCAAGAAATATCGGCGTAAGATTTTATATATATAAAATTTTAAATTCAATTAAAAGTTTTAAATTATATATACATGACATGACATTTTAGGACGCCCAACATATTAAATAACAAAATAAGGAACTAGTTTTAAGTTTAATTCTGCTCAAAGTAGGCTGTACAAAGCTTTTTTCCAACATGAGACATCAATTTTAAATTGTTTATGGACTAAACTATTTATTTAGTGTAAATTCGACAATGCTCCAATTGACGTAGAGTATTAGAGATTTCTGCAATATCAAGTAAGGCCACAAAACTTCAGTGCAACTTTAAGACTGAGGCACTGATTGCTTAAGAACATAGATATAAACACACGCATATACACACACACAAACACACATGCACAGTGCACATTCCGGCAGCTTGCATACGAATTTTGCACAGTCGTCGAAAAGTTTTGTCATTAACGTTGGTTGGCTGTCTCTTAGTCTGTCTCTATATTTCTCTTGCTCTAGCTGTCTCTTTCTCACTGTTATTTTATGTTTTCCCACTACGAATGCAAAAATGACAGGCAACAGTAAGGCCGAAAAACAGACTGACAATGAGCCGCACACAAACTAAATAATGTTATTACAACAACAATAAAATTAAAACTTGTCTCGGATAGAGGATAGTTGATAAGAGTGTGCGCAAGCGAGACAGCACAACGCCAAGTTGCAATTAATTTCATTTAGTTTTTTGCCACACGCCATTTTGTCTTGCCCCCGGGCTGCCTCTCTCCCTCTCTCTCTCCCTCGCACTCACTCACTTTTTCTTTTCTATGTGCAATGAGAGTTGACTAAATGGGAAAAGTTTGAAGTTGAAGGCACAAAAGTCCTGGACAAGACAAATGAAAACGAGAGACAAAAGCGCCCAGTTGCCAGAAGGAGATGGCATTACATTTAGCTGGGGATTGCCAGAAAGGCAGACAAAATACTCTGCGCAGAGTTGCATTCGGTCTGCCCTCTAGTTTCAATTTATGAGTGGCCCAGGTTACGCCTGCTGTCTTCATATGCTTCAAGCAGCAGACAACTGGCAAGCTGCAAAATAAATGTCCTTTTACAACACTCAACTTTAGGTCATGTGTTTGGCAGAACTGTTTTACCTAAAATTAACTATGTTTTTATAAAATCAACTAGTAAAGGGAAATGAAAACTCCTTTAAGAAACAGAAATTTTTTTAAAATAATTCTAGATTCTTTATAATTATAATTTCAAAAAGTAGCTTTATTAAGAAAAGTCTTTTCTGTTTAGATTACAAATGGAGCTAATTTGTTTTCACAGATTCCTAGCTGATTCGGTTGTGGATAGTGCGTAGATTAGTCAAGTAATCTGTACGACAGGGGAACAGTTATATAAAAATATAAATTATATGTACTTGGGGCAACATATAATATAACAACTATATTGCAGACATACATATTAAGTAGTAAATATTATCCATAAATTTAAATTTAATAATTTTATTTTTAAAGATATTCAACAATATAAAATATCAAATCTCTGTATTATGTGCTTCAATTAATCATTCGCCGTTGCCCGGCTCAATCTATAAAAGTTTAGATTAAGCCGAGTTATTAGCCCTTAATTTTCTTCAGTTCTACGAGTTCTTTGTTCTTCAATTTCAATTTAGTTAACAATCTTTTATTTTCTAACAATTTTCCCTTTTTATTGCCCCGCTAGATTTAAGCTAAATGAATTTAAAAGCGACTTGCAACTTGCGTCGCACATTCATTTACGACTTGTGTAGTAGAGTGTAAATTTCACTAGAATTTCTGTAAAATGTTGTGGCATCTTTTGTATAATTCGTTGGCCCGACAAAACTTTTGCCTGGCACGTAAAATGGCGCTTAAAAGTTTATTGTTTTCGGTGAGGTGCAGTTGTACAGCCCTGTTTTATGGTCAAAAATTAACACTCTCTGAACTCTAAACCATCCTTTGCTGACTCTTTCTAACTCTTTCTCTCTCTCTCTCTCTCTTTCTGTCTCCTCTGCACAGATGTGCCGGACATTGTGTGCCAGGACTATGCGGTGCCTCACATGCAGCAGCTGCTGCCCAATGCCGCTGGCACCGGCACCGCCCGCAGCTCACTGAACGCATCCATCGTTGCGGCTCCAGTTGTTTCGGCGGCAGCTGCAGCAGCTGTGGCAGTGGCAGTACCACCCGTGCCACCGCCACCAGAGAAATATTACGCAGCTACACCAATTTGCAGCAAGCCAGTGACGGGGCCGCCGGGCTCTCAGAGCAGCGGCTCGTTGAGTATGAGCTCCTCAAATACGGCAGCGACCACGCCCACGCCAACAGGCGGCAAACCACATCATTACAATTTGGATATGAGCGCTAATTTCGCCGACATCAACGAGGAGCAGGCCAATTGCCAAGTGCAGGAGTTTCCGCGCCAGTCGCTGGTCATCGTCGAGAAGCTCGGCTCTGGCGTATTTGGTGAACTGCATTTGTGCGAAACAAATGTGTTGAAGTAAGTACTGCAACCAACACGGCCCAACCCTAGCTTACCCTGTCCTACCTTATCCTAACCCACCCAACTCCGCCGCACCATACACTTAACCAAGTTGTTGTGTCTGCTGCAAGCGGCCGAAAAACATTCGGAAAATGTAACTAAAATTCACAGCACAACAGAAAATGAGCTGCATTAGGCTTACAGGCTATTTTCCGACTACACTTCACAATGGGGGCTGCTGTTCCGAGTATCCCACTTCAACACATTTTGTGAAATTTCTCAAACACGGTAGCTTTATGTACACTAGCAGATTAGGATTGTAACTATGAGCCCAAAGAACATTTTTGAGTGGAAGGGAGAGCGAGTGCGTCTGCAGTTCTCAAATTCAAATGGATACACATACAGAAAGCTTCGATAGCATCCACAAAGAGCACAAATAAGTCCCATAATGATTTTAATAGAAATATATTTTTCGATAATTAAAACGTTAAGCTGGCGTTCCTAATAAACTCTATTGAAATATCATTTAATTAGCAAACCTAATTGATTTCAAATGCTTTAAATTAATTCCGCAATATAAATCAAAACAACTGCATTCAAGCGTAACCCAGAGGTAATGAATATTAATTATAATAAACTTAAGCAAAATGTGCATGGATAACAAACACAGCGCTTGGATAATACCTTTAGTGAGGGTATAAAGCATTCGTGGAGTTTTATCAAATAAATAAAGTTAACACGTAATGAACTAATAGGAATCATAAACTATCATGACACTGTGTAAGGTTTCTGTCAAATGTTTTACATAACGCCAAATTGCTTCCCTACGAAAAAGAAATGATTGCCCTATTTATAAAAAAAAGGGTATATTTACCACTGAACCTGTCGCTAACGATGTCAGATAGTTAGAAAGCATAATCAAAAATTCTTTAATCAAATGGTTTGATGAAAAAGGATAAAGCAAAGCGAAATCAAGGCTGTGAGATAGTTCGATCTGCAGTTCCCACATTCAAATTGAAATTTAACCCAATGAATAGCAGTCTCTCATTGCTAAGCCACACTTTGCACTTGCTTTTTATTATGATATATGTACATCTGAATTGTAAATTAAAATATACACAATTATTCCCCTTTCTCCCAATTGCATCCAAAATTACCACTGCGAAGAAAAGAGCGATGCAAAGTTAGAATAAATCAAATATATATACATATGAACAGGCATTTTACCATGGAGGTCTCTTTTTTCTGAACACTTCAAATACGAAAATTGCACAAATAAGCCCGATAATGAACTTCATTTTAATAGAATAGTTGTACTTAATAAGTTTAACTAGTGTTTCTTATATACTGTCTATTAAAATTAGCAAAACAAATTGATTTAAAAGGGTTCAAATTACTTTCGCAATATAACGCAAAATATCTACAAGCGTATCCCAGCGGTGATAAATATTAATTACATTAAACACGCTTGCAAACATACATACACATATATGGTTACAGAAACACGGCGCCTAGAAAATACCTTTAGTAAGGGTCCATAAGAACAACAAAAATGCCGTATATAGCAAAAATACTCCGCACAAAATGTACAGAAATTATAACCAATCATGACATTTTTGAAGAGCCTTGTGAAACTTTTCCATCAAATGCAACATATATTTTGACATATCGCCAAATTGCTTCCTTACGAAAAAAAAAATGATTGCCCAATTTATATAAAGGACATAGATACCAGTGAACCTGTCGCTAACGTTGTCAGATAGTTAGAAAGCAAAATCAAAACTTCGTATAACAATAGTTGACAATAAGAAAAACCGCAATACTTTAATAACACACACACTCACACTCACGCACACATATCACATAGATAGAGGACATCAAATGGTTAGATGAAAAGGCATAAAGCAAAGCGAAACCGATATGAGGCTGCGAGATGGACCGACTCCATCTGCTGCAGGTAGTAGTTGCAGGTAGCAGATTGCAGGTTGCAGGCTTGCGGGATATAATGCCACGTCTGCGGTAACAACAACAACAACAACAACAACAACAACAATAGCAGCAACAGCAGCTCATGCTGGCCACAAAAAAGCTTATCAGAAATTCCATTATGAAAAGTTTAACCAAAAAAGGCAACAACAACAACAGCAATAGCAATGTCAACAAGAGCACTGGCTCTGCAGTAACAGGACCAAAAATATCAGACGTAGTCGAGACGATTCGGGCGGCGAATACGTCCATTGTATATGGTTTGTTGGCAGCGGGCGACGACGACGGGGATTGTGGATGCTGCGTTCCCTTTGATTTCATTTTTGCCATTTAATTGAAGCTTTTTATTGCACATTATACATATATAAGCATATAGGGCGTGGCCATGCATTGGCTACAACATTCTCTATATGCTGCAGTGAAATGTTTTCATTTTCGCAGACAGCACGGCGTATGCGTAACGCGTGTGTGAGTGTGTGAGTTTGATTTTCCACTTGCATGTCTATTATAATTTTCATCTGTGGTCTAGGACAATAAAGTCCATCTGTTGTCTGATAACTGTCTATCCAGCTGTCTATTAATATTTTATCAGACGGCCACGCCCCACATGAGAGGCCAGCAGGCAGGCAGGCAGGCAGGCAGGCGGACGACCTCATTCGATGCCGGCCACTTGAAGTTTTAGCACAGAACAGACGCTCCGGGCAATTCAGTTGCGAACGTGTGCGTGTGTGTGTTAATTATTTTGCATACAGCTGCCGAGAACCTGCAGCCAGGGGTCATCTTTACTGCTGCTGTTGCTTTTTCTGCCACTGCAGTGCAATATTACGTATACGTAATACGTTTTGTGGCTTTCTAACCGCAAAACTATTAAAGCAAGCAGGCAAATCAAATTGTTACGAAACGTAGCAAAATTGCCAGGACGACCATTGACAGCAATCGACGCAGCAGCAGCAGCAGCGCCAGGACATGAAACAGGACATTGTTGAGCTGCTCTAATTGATTTTTGCGCTAGAGCTCAATTGTCATGGGCATACGTATTTCAATTGATATAGACTGTGGCATTGTGATGGAAAAGTGGGGCGCAACAGCGGAACCTGTGACTGAATAGCCCGAGCAGCAGTTGAGCTTTTTGCGGTTTACATATAAGTTACCTACGAAAAGGGAACAGTTATTAATAGTTCAAGTATCGCATATACATCTATATTGACCGGCTTGGTCCACTAAGCTTCACATACTATGGATATTTTATATAATTTTATGAATACATTCGCATTCATAGTAATTCAGAACTATTTTACATTAAAGATTTGATACGAATCGAAAACTTATACAGGCATTCGGAAGTTCTAAGAAAAAAAGCCCAAATAAATCGATCCTTGGAAAAAAAGATCTATGTTGTTATGAACTTTAGTGGAATTGTAGACAAATATAATAAACTGCTTTTAAGATCTGTATTAGAATTTCACGAATATAAACAACCTACTTTCAAAATTACTTTCTCTCTTAAATCTAAACGCGGTTACTTAACTTTAATCCGACAACTCATATTATCTTTTTTCATATATCACTAACAGCGCCACCCTTGTCGCAGTTGCCACACTTCGTCCTGGTGCAAGCGATCATCTGAGAAAGGAATTTCGCAGCAAGGCTAAGCAGTTGGCGCGTCTCAGCGATGCGAATGTGGCTCGCTTGGTGGGCGCCTGCCTGCGGGACGAGCCCATATGTATTGTGCAGGACTATTCGAATTGTCTGGGTGACTTGAATCAATTTCTGCAGGAGCATGTGGCTGAAACAAGCGGACTGATGGCCAACAAGAGTCTGAGGTAGGTGATGAAAAAGAGGCAGAGAGAGAGAGAGAGAGAGAGAGAGAGAGATATACTTGTGCTTTGGCGCTTAACTGAATAACACTCTAATGTGCTGTCTCTTTTGGTTTTTGGCTGCGTTTTTGCGTGCGTTTTTATCATGTTTCCGTTACCGACGCCATTTGCCGACGCTACACTTCCGGTCTCGTGTTCAATGATTACGCCGATCCACCACCGAACAACCACCAACAACATGCGCAAACGGATGTAAAAACTTCGTTAACTTTGCTGCTGCTGCCGCTGCTATCGTCATCGTTGTCGTTGTCGTCCTTACCACACGCGAAAACTTTTCAAATTCTCATTTGACGTTGGCATCCTCCTCCGCCCGGCATCCGTTTCGTGCCCCACCATGCCCCACCCAACCATGCAACGCCTTGTAGCTATGGCTGCTTAGTCTACATTGCCACACAAATTGCATCGGGCATGAAGCATTTGGAGCAAATGAATTTCGTACATCGGGATCTGGCAACAAGGTAAGTACTTGAGATAAGAACACCTTACACCACTGTTAGCTGCCCCTCGGTTTGAATTTTTGTCGCATCATTGCAGCAAATTGAACTTAAAGTTAACATGTTGAAAGTTATTCTTTTTTTTTTGTCCATTTTGTGGTGCGTGCTTAAAAAACTTTTTCAACTTGCGCTTGCGAGGCAAGAGAATATAAGAAAAGGTATTTTACAAATTGCATGCTTTTTAATTTCAACGTGAAATAATGAAATGGTCGACAACAAATACTGTTTGAGTATTTTTGAAATATTTTAAAAATGTAAAAGCTCGTGAAAACTAAAAAGACGAAGAGGTAAAGTTAAATTAAAATTGTTGCTAATAACTATTTGAAAAAAGTCATATATATGTGTGTATATTTTTGGGCACAATCCTGAAAGATTCTTCTTTGGAAATGGAACTTCCACCTAATAGAATTAAGGTATTAAAGCACTCTCGTTACGTTATGTACCTTTATTATTATCAAAATTGTCTTAGAATATGAGAAGCTCTGAAAACTGAGAACAAATTGTGTTTTGAGGCGCACTTTGCATTGCCAATTTCAGCTGCGTTCTCAGGTTACTTTAATGAAATTATGTGTCGCCCCGCACAAATGAAATCAACTAATATTATCACATTATTACCAACCAGAAATTTGCTGGCAAGTAGTGGAAAGTGAATAAAAGCTATAAATAAGATGGTAATTCAATATATCGAAGAGCTACCGAACGCTGCTGTCTACACATTTGCGCATAAAATGTAATCAATTAAAATTAATTTGCTAATGAAAATGTCAACAAGGAGAGCAGCAGCAGCAGCAATAGCAATCAACACGACAGCAACAATAACAGGAGCTACAACAATGGCCATGGCAACACTTGACGACATTCTCGTCGTTTATGGGCGAATTTTTTGCTTTTAGCTTATATAAATGAATGATAGACACTGTTGTTATAGCAGCCAACCGCTCGACCCCACATCCAGGGCTGACGTCGTTGTCGTTGTCATTGTCGTTGTCGTCATAACAAATCAATAGACTTGTGGAGCATGTAACATGCTATGGCATGGCCATATTTCTTCAATGTCTTTGAAATCCAATAAGAGTTTTTTGCTATTTTTGGGCACGCAATTGTCAAACACAATCTTCTGTCACGCCCAGCCCGCACCGTCACACAAATAATGACTTCCATTGCATAACAATGCAATCCAATAATAATCATAAAAAACAAGAAAGAAAAAGCGAATATTGTCGATATAGGTAAGCAACATATCATTTGACAGCAATTGGCCATGGCGGCTAACGTGTGCCATGAGTTATCTATTTTCTGCTTTTTTTTTTACGTTTGGCCATGTTCAAAAATTTGTTTTTGAGCAACCCGAATGAATGGCTGGCAATAAATTTTTAGACATGACAATGCGACGTTTGCGCAATAAGACCGCAAATATTGTGCATGCAAGTCTCCTCGGAATATTTATGCTGGTCCTGTAGTAGCAGCAGTGCATATTAAGCATACGCCACGTAACATCAGTTTATAGCCCAATTGTTTTAGTACACTCTACCATGCAGCTACAGGAATATCTCTTTTCCATTTTTAAATTGCCTAACCAAATCCCAGACATGTTAACTGACCCGTTGTCTAGCAATTTGAGTTTCTTACAGCTTCAATTAGTATGACAAAGCCAAAGAGCTTAGTCCTGTCAGCAAGGACATCAACTAAAGCACTTGTGAGCAGCACACAATGTTCTTGGTTTTGGTTAGCTTAACATATTTGCCATAAAAATTAACTAAGATTTCAGCCTGAATTCACTTAAATAAGATTTCTGCTACATTTGCTCAGCCAAACAAAAGGCCCAAGCCCAAATATAAACACACACACACACACACCCGCATGCACAGTGTATTTTTAGCATTGTTTGATTTGCCATTTTACCTAGCGCATTGACAACGAGACAGGGACAGCTACTCAGAAAGCAGCAGCAAATATTAGCTCCAAAAACCACACAAAAATGGCAAGTGATGAAAAAAAAAAAAGCTGCAGTATGATATTTGCACTGCGAAACAAGAGACTAAGGACTAGAAAAAATAGATACGAGTATTATAGACTATAGACAAGGCAGCTAAATCAACATGAATTGAGAGAAAGAAAGCCATAGCACAATTAATTGTTGTTAACTTTCAATATGAAAAAAAAAATATAGCAAATTTAATAAATCATTAAATTAAGAATGAACTCTAGCCCGCAGTCTGTAGAAATTCGAAAGCTAACAGCATAAAATAATTGGCATGCATTTAGATAAATGTTCCATATTTATACTTATATTGAGGAAAGGAAAGATAAACCTATATTCATATTAAAAATGTTAATATTCAATCAAATAATTTTCCATATTGAAAACCTGTAGATATATATTATTAGATCTTAATAACATTTATATTCAAATTTAGATTAGATTACTTGTTATTGGAGCAAAAATATTTGCTTCAGATTTAAATTCTTGTTCAGAGCATCTGTTAAAATGCTAAAATACTTCTCAACAGCCACCCACAACAAACTGTCTCATGCCGCTGTGTCTCCTATATTAGTTAAAATTTCACAACAATTTCAGCCGCCTGCCCGCACAACTGTAAAGTAGTTCTGGCCACAAGCCAAATTTGCACAAATTTTCCATCACCCCCCTACCCTCCCTCCCACCCACCACACTCAATGTGCACGCTTTGGGCTGTGGAGAAGTTGTCACAGTTGGCACTGGGAGGCATACAAATTGTTGGCCAATGTTGAGGACTCTCAGACTCGTGCCACGGCCACTATTAAAATTTTATACTTAACTAATGTGCTGTTGGTTGGGATTTTACTTCTGGTCGGATGCCAATGGCAAACAGCTGACGTTCAGAAAATTCTCAGCAGTGCCACAAAAGAGAAAATTCAGTAAATAAGTGTACACAGTGGCATGCAGCATACAGGCGAACATGTGTTTAGTCAACAGGATGCGGAATTGTCTTGGGGTCGGTGTTTGTGCAGTTACAACCATTTCTGTTTTTTTTTTTTTGACCACGCCCACGTAGGAAACGGGTTTATTGCTGTTGTAAATATTGTAAAATGTTTTGCGAGCACCACCAAAAAGAAAACAAACTAAATGCAACAAAAATGTAATTCATTTCACCCACACCAGCTAAGCCTGCAGTTTAGTTGATGTCGGCAAAATGCTAAAATCCTCTCAGCTTCTGCGGTTGGTTTTGTCTGGCAACTGGACCAGCGAGTGGCCATGTATCATTGATTTCAGAGTTTTTGTTCAAATGTTGCTGAGTTAGTTCGCCGAGCTCTGTGTTTTATAATTTAAGTGCTTGTTCTTAACCACAATTTCAGTTCGTTGTCTTTCAAATGTCTGCAGTCAGACTTTTCAATCAGTATGTGGTGTAGCAGAAAAGCCGGCGGAGATATTGCGGTTTCAAAGAAATACTGTGCTTACATTAAAAATGGCATTATTTTATACCTTAATGGAAATTTAAGAATATAGACAAAAATATAGCATAAAATTGAAATATTTGGGTCAACGAAATAATCTATTTGAACTATATTTATCAATGCAATGGCAAATATTTTATGAATTAATTTAATAATTAATTTTTAACTCAGCTTAAACAAACAAAACATAAACAAATTGATTTCGTTTTAAGGCATCAAGTTCTGTAAAGTAACTTGGCAAAATGTTTATTTCATCCTAAAGTGAACTTTATTTTCAACTAGTTGAGTTTATCTTTTAGAAAATGTTGAATGCATGAGGAAAAGTTTAACATATTTTTGTTTATTTTAATCTTAAATATATTTAAATTCCTTAAAACCATTTCCGAGTGTCTTACTTTGATTTATATTAAAATATGCTTGTTAGCTTAATCAATCTATTGCATTCTTCTTACTTAGTTTTACATCGATTAGGCTCTTTTGTCCATTATCTTTTACACAAGTTCTTTGAGTCTTTTCCACCAATACATCACTTTACAATCATTTCCAATCAATTACACAATTAACCTTCGAGTATCTGTAAGTAATGTTGCTTTGCTATAGGCAGTGAAAAGGGCTTGTATACTCGTAAACTATAAATGATTTAAATGGGACGACGTTGTCGTTATGGCAACACTTTTATCAACATTTCCTGCCAGCAAGGCGAGAGAAAACCCATGTGAAGGAAGTTGAGAACCACAGGATATGAAAATAAAACAAGCAGCTGCTGCTGCTGCTGCTGCTACTGCAGCAAGCAACAGAATCCTTGGCCAAAAAGTGCAATGCATTTCGGCCTTTAAATAGTTTTGCCTACTTTCGAGCTGCAAAGCAGCCGGCAGCAGCAACAGCAGTTGCACCAGCACCAGCAAAAACAATGTGCCCTCTTTTGCTCGCTCTCTTGCTCCGCTGAAAGTTTACACTGTGCAAATATGCAGAACACACCAGCACACACGCACACAAACACACAGACACACTTATAGAGGCACCCATCCATTTCCTTTCACCCTACTCGACTGGTGCATATTGTATAACGACGCATTTTTTCCGCTTTTGCCGCTGCTACAAAACTCTTATCAGCGCCATTTCCCTTTTGGCCAAGAGTGGGCGTCATGTGGGCTGGGCGTGCACCCAGAAATTGTTTCAAAATAGTTTGCAAGTGGTAAAGAAGATGATGAAAAAAATCCCCTTACAAATACACACACACACACACACATACACACACTTGAATGAAAGCCCCAAAGATATGAAATTTTGCGCCGAGTGTTGACTGAAGGGCGCACAAGTGGGCGTGCCCCGTCTGTGTTGTCATTTATTGCCATTGCTGTGCGTAGTTTTCATGTAATTTTCAAGTATTTTTTCAACACCAAAAAACTGTGCAACTAGCAAAACTTCTTGCCATACCCTGTACAAATTCAAAAAGTGAGCTAGCTATGTGAATCAAGACTATTTGATCGATTTTGATTTATATTTTTAATTGTATTATTTTATTAGAA